GAACCTTCCATCATTTCTCCAGAAGTGCCTCTCCTCCCTTTCTGTGGGCTAGCCTCTTCCTCTTCCTCCTCCTCCTCTTCCTCCTCAGGAGTGAGTTCCGGAAGGCTTCCTTGTCCCCTGCCCCTGTCTCTGCCCCACAGTATCTGGCCTTGCTGTATCGGCCCCACCCACTGAGTCAATTTCCCTGCCCCCGGGCCTTTCCAGCCATCACAGTCAGCCTGTAGGGCAGAGACTATGTCTTTTATGGTTGCATTCTCTCCAGACCTCTCCATTTAGCACAGTGCTGTGTTGACTCTAAGTGCACCCACACTTGTATATGCATGCGTAATAACCATTCATGCTGATGGGGTGCAGGGCTATATTTCAACATGTGTACTGATCAAATTAGGCCCATTAGCATTTCAGTCTAATTATCATTTTTTTTTTTTTTTATGCTTGGAGCCTTTCGGCTCCTCTCTCCCGTTTTGTTTTGTTTTGTTTGATTGTTTGGGTGATGTTGGGGCTTAAACCCACATGCTATCTTCTAGTTCTTAATAGAATATCAAAGATTATGACTTACCACATCCCCCCGCCATTCAAGTCTTTTTGCCTGTTTTTTTGAGACAAGGTGTCATGTAGCCCAGGCTGACTTTGAACTTACTATGTTATGGAAGATAACCTTCAACTTCTGATCGTCCCGCCTCGGCCTCCAGAGTGCTGGGATTGCAGGCCTGTGTCACTGTAGCCACAGGTTTATGTGGTGCTGAGGATGGGACCCCAAGCCTCACGCACGCTAGGCAAATGCTCTGGAAACTGAACTCCGGCCCCAGACATCTGCTCCACAATTTTTTGACAGACAAAAACAAAACAAAACAAAAAAATGTACTTTGAATTCGGTCACATGAGAAGACTGGAGAGGGAGGAAGAGGGGGAAGGAAAGGAGGGAGAGAGAGGAGGAAAGAGAGAGGGGGAGAGAGAGAGGGGATAAAAGCAGGTTGGGGTGGACAGGGCAGCCGTGGTTTGTGAGACAAGGCTCTGAATTTGGTTCTAGACGGTTTACAGTGACAGCGAGACACTTAAGGAGAGATGTCCTGCAGGCTGCTGGATTTATGAGGCTAGAGTCCAGCAAGAGGTCAGGGCTGGAAATGAGCATCTGAGCATCTTGGAGAAAGATGGGCAAGAGAGAAGAGCTACAAATGAGCTCCTGCAGGAAGTGAATAGAGCACCAGAGGAGGCTGCCCCCCCCCCAGGAGGCCTCAGGGAGCGCGGAGGCGGGGCAGCCAGTGTGGG